GGGGGGGGGGGGGGGGGATAGAGTGGAGAGGGATTAGAAGACCCGTCAGGTTTTATTGCTGTCTGTGTCCTCTCACCCTCTCTATATGTCCTGGTGACTGTTATCCCTAAACCTGAAAGAAAATCCCAAATTGTGGGTTGTCACCAGCACAGGTATAGATGGGAAATCTTCCAGTGGGGACACTAGTTCTGGTGACCACGAGGGATTTTCCTCACTTTAAAGAGATTTCCTCTCCCCTCCTGTTGAAGCAATCAGACAGGAAGTGAAGGGAGATCACCCCAATGGGACACAGAAGCCGCCGGGGTTTTAATCGTCCCGGAGCCTATCCAAAATTAAAAACAAAACGTTTTTGGCTTCAGTTCTACTTTAATAATAGGAAGTGGAGATCGGGTGATGTAATTTGCTTCCTCTTTGTCCAATGTGCAGTGAAGAGAACACGCATATAGGAGGTTGGCTGGTCTTGTCGTCATCAAACATCATTATTGATATGGTAGATGTAGCAAGGTGCAGGTTACATTGTTATTCCTTGTATCCATCCCCTAAATCAGGATAAGCAACCCTGGCCTGTCGTGTATACCCCTGGCCTGTCATGTGTACCCCTGGCCTGTCATGTGCAACAATGGCCTGTCATGTGTAACTCTGGTCTGTCATGTGTAACCCTGGTCTGTCATGTGTACCCCTGGCCTGCCATGTGTAACCCTGGCCTGTCATGTGCAGCCCTGGCCTGTCATGTGCAACAATGGCCTGTCATGTGCAACAATGGCCTGTCATGTGCAGCCCTGGCCTGTCATGTATACCCCTGGCCTGCCATGTGTAACCCTGGCCTGTCATGTGTACCCCTGGCCTGTCATGTATACCCCTGGCCTGTCATGTGCAACCCTGGCCTGTCATGTGCAACCCTGGCCTGTCATGTGCAACCCTGGCCTGTCATGTGTACCCCTGGCATGTCATGTATACCCCTGGCCTGTCATGTGTAACCCTGGCCTGTCATGTGTACCCCTGGCCTGTCATGTGCAACCCTGGCCTGTCATGTGCACCCCTGGCCTGTCATGTGAACCCCTGGACTGGCAAGCTACCCCTT